TTATTATGGTATAGTATTTAAATATATGCCTGAGAAACACATAATATCACCTTTAAAGAATTAAAAAAGTAAGTTTTATATGTTAATATAGAAACATGTTTCATCATTTACATTCCCCCCTCTCTCTCACTCTCTCTCTCTCTCACACATACACACACCCACACAAACAATCATGACCCCTCTCTACAAACCAACAGCACAAGAATTTCTATTTTCATTCTGCACATGTGCTTGAACACAACACACACACAAACCAAAAATCTCATATAATCTATTGACATGCATATTAAACTATGAGTATACACAGACCCCTCTGGTAGTGATTCACAACCACGGGTACGTGAACATACAGGGGTATGTGGAAAAATATCCCAGTTGTGTAAAAAAAAAAAGGTCCTGGATATTTTGGGTCCTATGATTTCTGCAGTGCTGAAAATGCAGATGAATCACAGAATTGACACTCAGTGGAATCCAGTATAAGATGTGTAATCTCATGGACTTTGCTATAAATCTCAAACGTTGCCTTGCATATTCATCACTAGCAGTTTTAAATAACCTACTGTGAACAGTGGACCAAATATTAGATGTTACTTTTTTCTTTACTCTTTTTTTTTTCTTAGGCTTGTGATGACCTTGTTGTGTTTTTGTCTGACKTTAAATCTAGATCAGTGAAGCTCCTTGATCTGCCCGTGGGTTTGCGACCACACAAAGTGAAAGGCCTGCTGGGACAGAACATGTCCACAGCAAGTCCCTTCATCTACTCACCCATTATCATGCACAACAGAGGAGAGGAACGCTGTAAGAAGATAGGTAAGTCCAAACGTATTTCTTACTGGTTCAGTGGCTGCAAAAAATGCCAGTGACGAGGAAATCTACCTGTACCTGAACACAAAGAACAAAGAGAACTGAACGTGTTTTGATCAGATTACAAGACAAAGTTTTTACAACACTGTTATTATATTGGTAAAAACAATAGTGGAACTTTATCAGGTTTAGAAACTAAACTGTCCAGTTTCTGTCATTCATAATTTACTTCAGACCTAGTTATGCAGGTGAATTTGCTGTTTGACAAAGTCAAGAATGGGATTTCATGTGAAATTAAAACTGCAAGCAGTGGTAAAGTGTCCTCGTGCACCAGAGTGATACCAGACCATGCATATGTTCGGTGACACTATAGCTGGCTCATCTGTCAGGTTTCGTTAAGCACAGCCTACTACAACAGTATAAAACTGATAATTATACAACAACTGTACCAAGTCCAACTTCATCAAGCTGCCATGACCACTTCCTTTGGCTGCCAACATTTATATTTTCTGTGTGTCTCAAAGGGTCTGAACCTTACACAGCAGTTTTAAAGCTACTAGAATGACATGTGAATGGGAGAACACCAGTATGCATTTTTGTACTGCCACTAGTTGGCGCAGTGGTGGATTCACACACTAGTGAGCCCCGCCCATCCCATCCACTGGTAGTGTCTGTGACATCATGGAGGAGCAGAAACAGACCAAACAGGACAAC